GGGCTTTTTCCCCGATAGCTTTCTTCAGTGTCTTTCTATCCATTCATAATAATTAGGAATGCAATGGTATGGATAATATTGGCCTTTGTTGCCTGTGATATTTCCTTACTCTTAAGAATTTTTTCTTGTTCCATCATAGTTATCCTTCCAAATCTCAGTCTTCTGGTTTCTTGGTTACAGTCTTCATTTTAGTTGAACCGAGTTATAGGAAATCCTTAATAGTTATAGTTTCTTTGTTGTTAGCATTAAACGTATGCAACTCCTCTGTAGTTGCTATTTTTGTCTTAATGTTCAGCTTAATTCTCTTTTTGCACTTTCTTGTTTCACTGCCTGCACTTGTTTCAAACCATTTGCTATTTTCTGGCAGTAATATATCTTAAATTATTGATGTTTCTTCCATCAATTTGCACTCTTCCTTCATCCAAATCTTGTCCAGCTTTCTATATACAGTGGTGCCTCGCATAACGAGGTTAATCCGTTCCGGATTAACCTTCGCTATGCTGAAGCATCGTTGAATGGGGCAGGGATTTCCATTGGAACGCATTAAACATGGTTTAATGCGTTCCAAATGGCCCTCATACTCACCGTTCCGCGAAGCTTCTTAATGGCCGGCAGCCATTTTCGCGCCCTCGCCTCGCTTAACGAGGCCGCGAAAACGCTGCGCGCAGCCATTTTGGGCCATTTCCGGGCTTCCGGCGGCCATTTTGGTCGCCGAACAGCTGATCGTCGGGCTTCGTTTTGCGAAGATCGGTAAGCGAAACGCTTACCGGTCTTCGCAAAGCGAATTTTCCCCTATTAGAAAAACGTTAAGCGATCGCATTAGCGATCCGAAAAAACGGATCGCTATGCGATTTCGTCGTTATGCGGTGCGCTCATTAAGCGAGGCACCACTGTAGTATATTCTCCATATAGATTGGTGATGACTTGTGTTTAAACAGAAACAAATCTTCCAGAGTTTAATCAGGTTATCGCCAAGTAAATGTGCATAAAACTGTCCGGAACTGAACAGAAAAAATGGTTTAATTTCTGTTCACGAAGTCTCTGTTACTGGACACTTTAGCTGTCCTTCTATGGTAGTGGGTTCCCAACCTTGGGTCCCCATATGTTCTTGGACTACACCTCCCAGAAATCCTGTCCAGCACAGCTAGTGGTGAGGGATTCTGGGATATTTGGTCCAAGAATATCTGGAGACCCAAGGTTAGGAACCACTGTTCTATGGATATTCTTCATTCTCCATTGTCTTCCTTAATGTATTCTGAGCATCTGTGACCAGAGGGGACAGATATAAAATCTATGAACTATGCTGTACCAGGTACCCACTGTTTCTTGAATGATATTACTTTCTTTTGGCAGCCATATCATATAAGCCACTTTTGCTAAAATGGAGCTTGCAAGAAGGCGGTGTTGGGGGGGGTCACCTGTGCCCTTTCTGTTGACTTGGAAACAGCCTATGCACTGTGTACAGTAGTTTTAAAACTATGAAACCACTGGGTAGAGTTATCCAGAGTTTTGAGCCCAACCGTTGTAAATAAGACACAACTCTGTTTCTCACTTCTCTCTCTTGCAGAGAGGTGGTATAACTCAAGCTGGATGTTTGGAGGCAATTCTGAGGTGTATTTGGGCCAACCAAGATTTAAGCTAAATTAGACAGGATATTGTTTGTTGGAAAGGTCAGGAGGAGATTTACAGCCAGGTTTTGGAGGGGATTATATTTATCTGAAGATTGAAGCCTGCAGTTTTGGGATACTCCTGTGCCCAGTGTTATATCTGGAGGTACAGGTAGCCTCAGAGGCTTGCCTGGCTTGCCAGCTGACTTTGTCTGAAAAAAACCTAGACGTGGGGTAAATTATGTGTTTGGTGGTTTGAATGGTCATGAATTTAAATAGTCATGATGTTGATCAGGATAACGCCTAGGCATTTGACGTCTATTGTGTCACTATCATGCATTGTGCATGTGCCTGCCTTTGAGGAGAGGTCAAGGATATACAAATACTGTAGTTTAATATGCAATGTTTACATTGTCACCTGCAGTGGCATATTAACAGCAGTTGGGTGCTTCTTCAATTGTACTGGCGCTAGCGTGTAATTCACATTGTTGAGTTTGACCTATACTGTGCTTTGTGGCTTGGGACTAGAGTATCTTTAAGTTTTACATACCACTGTATACAGTGGTGCCTTGCAAGACGATTGCCTTGCTGGATGAAAAACTTGCTAGACAAATGGGTCCAGCGAGCTTTTTGGTGCCTCGCAAGACAATTCTTCCTATGGCTGTTTTTTGCACGACGAATCCACTTGCAGAGGCTAGCCCAGCACCATCTTTGAAGATTGCGCCTCTTTCCCCTGCCTTCAGCAAGCCTCCGAACGGATAAAGGAGAGAAAAAAAAAGAAAGCCTTTTTTTCCATTCAGACCCTTACCGAAGGCAGGGAGAAAGGGTGCGATCTTCAAAAATGGTGCTGGACAAGCCTCGGAGGGACCTCGGCGCTTCCCTTGCACCATCGGAAGACTGGCAGGGGGTCCCTCCGAACGGCGAGCAAAGTTACTGCTAAAACTCAGAAGCGACTACTGTACATATATTTTACAATTCGTAGGATGGGAAATGACCTGTATTGTAAAGCTGTGTGTGAATACAAGTCATACAAAATACAGATCAGTTGATACATAGGGAGAGTGGATCTTCTGCTCTCTAGAAGAGTGTCCTCTAATAACTTGCTTGCCAGTCAGCCGTGATTCCCCTCTAGTTAATTTACAACGTTTTGAAAGAATAGCTTGACCAAACCATGTTTTTGAATTGTTTCTGTTTTTCAGCTAATGTGAAAATGCTTTAACAGAGCTAATTTGTTGTAACATTGCTAGAAAAACAGTTTAACAAAAATACCTAACTTCACATATTGTTACAATCAGGACTTGAGATGTGTGAATATAATGTGGAGTTTGATATTTTCTGGTCCAGGTGGTGCTCCTTCTGAAAGAACAGGTTTTCAGTGTGGGAAATATTTTTTAGCTCCAATAGACTGTTGATAGTTGAAGCAAAAACATCTGTGGCTCATAGTGCCTTCCATCCATTTTGAGTAGTATCCTAGGTTCTTCACTTGTAGGGAGTCTGATAATTATTGTACATGCACAATTGACATCTGGGCAAGGCTATAGACATATGTTGCCTATAGCAGAGATCCCCAACCCCCAGCCTGGTGCTGGTCCATGGCCATGGCAGGACCAAGCTGCGGAGACAGATCTCCCGCCCACCCACACACACTCCTGCCACCCGCACGCACAGGTGCCCCTCCACAAGCACGCCCTGCCTCTTTGTGCATGTATTGCGAGCACGCAGTGCCCCTCCGCAGGCGCAATTTGCCCCCTTCGCACATGTGCGCGAGCACACTCTGCTTACCCATGAGCACGGGGTGTCCCCCAACCGGTCCACGACTCAAAAAAGGTGGGGGACCACTGGCCTATAGGACTGCCTGCTTTTGAAAATCATTCAGAAAAAAATGGTGCAAGATTTATAAGCTAAATCCTTAGCTAGAACAGACTGTTAAAAACAGCTATGATGTCACCTGTCCTTCAAGGTTTAGGCTGGAGTGTTAACATCCAATGGTGGTCGGAAGGCGAGACATCAGGGGGAGGAGCTGGGATATATAGGGGTGTGAATGTGTGTGAGTGGCAGATCAGGATCTGTGAGTGTTGAGATGAGATAGTGATCAGATTGTGTGGCGATATGAGTCTGTGTGAGCTAGAGCCTTTCTTTATGTGATTACCAGATTTATTTGTTATACCAATCTTAATGTACCAATCAATAAGCTTTAGTTAATTTGTTTGAAATCCATTCTGGCCTGAAGATACTTATTTCAGGGGATGGATGGTGGCAGACTACCAGAAGAGTAACAGTGGAGTGACGTAGCGACCTTCCTTGGTGAGGTAGAAGAAGGCCGTTACACAGACTACTCCAGATATATCACTTTGGTCTTAAAATATTTTTGCCATGTTACAAATGAATTTTGGCATGCAGTGATCTCGCCACTTATAAATGTTACTTTTTGGCATGCTTCTAGAAGATGTCATCCAAAAGCTATCATTTCACTTTATCAATTGTTATTATCCCCACCTGGTTATGGGGCCATGTATAAAGATATCAGTCATATAGTCTCATTTTGATGTCTGATTAAGTGGACTTGATATGCGAAAGCTCACAATAAAATATAGTATTTAGTCTTTAAGGTGCCACAGTGATGATGTATCTTTGAATTTTTTTGTTCTTTTTTGTCTAATGTGCTTGAGTAGACTGACATAGTTACCTCTTCATGGGACTATCAAACTATTAAAACAAGGTCCTTGAGGTTGCAGACAGGTAATGGATTATAGATGAGTGGTGTGCCAGGCAGATAGATGAGGACTTCACGCCCATATGTCTGAAGCCCTAGTCAACATAGGCAATGGATGCTGTACTTCAGCAACATCTGAAGGGCCACACTTTGTTAACTCCACTGTAGGATATGGATGAACAGCTTTGTTACCAAGGTATGGTACACCTTTTGGGAATGTGAGAATGAGTTGTTATCTGGTTTCAAGAATCAAATTGGTAAATTTGGGGGGCTAATTTACTATACAGCAATACTGTGTTGTGGTAATATATTTTAAAATGAATTATGTTAATTTATTACAATAAGGATAAGTTGTTTCTTTTCATGCAGGAAAGGTAAAAAAATCCATGATGATGTAAACCAGGATTAAATCTGGTGGGGAAAAAAACACCTCTGGTAAACAAGGTTGGATTTCTTTTTTATTTTAGGTGATTTTTTGCTTTGTTCTTAGTGACAGTGTTGTTTAAGTTTGAGTGAGCTTATTATCAAATATTATTGCCCCACAAAGTAAGTGGCTTAAGTAAATATCTAAAATATTTTGTAAATAAGTAACAGGAGTAATACAAATCAAGGCACCACTAAAGATGAATATTTTAGTACTGTATTAATGTTGACCTTTCTTTCTTTTTGTTTTAACACAGCATTATTAAACTGGGTCTCTTTGACTGAATGGATTTCAAAAGTAGTTCTCTGCTGTTAACCAAAAAAAGTGTCAACCACATCAAAATGAAGCAAGTATCGGAAAACCTTGGAAGCCCTACAGGGAAAACGCAAAACTGTGAAATGAATCGTGAATGTTCTGTCTACTTGGGCAGAACACATATTTCTGCCACACTACAGGAGGATGTTATGCCAAAATATAATGGCCGTGATACTCTCCCATTTATCCAAGCAGAGAAGCTGAAAGATTTCACTTCTCGTGTATTTAATGGAGAATCAGGCGCACAAGATTCCAAGCTACGTTTTGAGTCTCGAGATATAAAAGAAGCTGGCACACCACCTAACACTACGCCTGTCAAGAACGGCTCTCCAGAGATTAAGTTGAAAATCACTAAAACATACATGAATGGAAAACCTCTGTTTGAATCATCAATTTGTGGTGACAGTGGAATGGACGTCTCTCAGGCAGAGGAGAATGAGAAAAAGTCATCAAATAAGGAGAGAAGAAATAGAAAAAGAAGTATTAAATATGACTCTCTGCTTGAGCAAGGCTTTGTTGAAGCAGCACTAGTTTCGAATCTAAGTAGTTCCTCTGAGAAGGTACTGAACCTTGTATTTTGTTCAGATGATGGCTTCTAATGCAGCCCATTTTCTTAATCCATTAGCAGATAAGGTTGGAGAGGATGAAGATTATCCCACTTCACCTGCTTCATTCTCATGCCCACTTCTCATTTCTCTTTGAGAAAGCTGCCCCATCCCCTGACTGCTTTGTTCCCACCGCAGAACTCATTTTCTCCCCCTCTACTACTGTTTCTGTTTAGGCTATGGCTTCCGGCAAAAGTCTTCCTTTTGCTGCCATATTTTATACTTCTCAGCAGGAAGGAAGAGAGATGGAATAGGCAGACCATTAGTGACTGTTTATTTTCAGCACTTATATAATGCTTTATTAGCAAGAATTCTCTGAATACCTGTAAGTGCAAGATTAATAATATGCAAAAATACAACATGAAAATAAATGTAAAACAAACTAAAATTAGCAGCAAAGAGTAGCATCAGATCTAAAAAGTATTAAAAAGATTGGGAAATGTCCAATGGTCTTGAACAGGGTTGTATCTTGGACACTGAGTGCTGGTTGTTTTCTTCCTTCCAGATCAGAAAAATAGAGAGGCCAAACTCTGGGTTTGAGCACCAATGTAGGAATGGAGAGAGGGAAGTTGCACTTGTAATATGTGGCCCTTAGAGCTTCTACAAGAATGCCATGCAATGAAATGTTGCAGCATGATCTGCTCCTATTCAGTACAGTATTACATAACTGAATGGGTATCACTTATTGAGGGTTGGTCACTCAATTTTATTTTCCAGTGGGCAAAATCCAGTTCATACAGGCATAATGCGCAGTATGCCTGGTTATTCCTGGCAACGGGGAATGAACATTTCAAGTATACAATAAGTTGGGCCCAGAGTGACTAGATGTGCAGTGTCCTGGCAGAAGTGCATTGTGGATACCTCTTTCACCTCGGTGCTATTGCAGCTACGCAGGTGTAGTGCTGAGTTGCACCCACATATTTATGCAACAGGATTTAGCCTGTTAATTGATGTTTTTATCATCCTTCTAGATACTTATGCTTTTGCTATGTCATCTTAATCATGGGTCTGATTCTCAAAAAACTGAATCATTTGAACAGAGAATTGGATGCTAGATGCTAAAAAGAACCAACATGCACTCAGTATAAACTTATTATAATAGCTGGCAAAGTCTTTATTTTATTTATGAATATATAAAAGATTGTCTTTTACATTGTTTGCTCTCATATTTGGCCGATTATGCTACTTCTGTGAAGCCCACAGGTCAAGAGCACAGTTGTCATTTCAGCAATGTCTCAGCATTTGTTTTCAGTACAATTTCAAACTAATCTGTGGAAAGCATATTCTCCCCTTTCCATGACTTTTAAAACCTGTAGCAGAGAGAAGAAAATACCTCCAGTCTTTACACATATTTACAAACTCTTGCCTCTGGATTTGTTCTGTGCTTTAAAAAAAATTGTTATGTATATTTATAAATGGCCTCTGATGTAAAATGTGTGCGGAGGTTAGTACACAGTTTTATTTTGTTCATTGTTGTTTTCATATGATAGCCAGGGTGAGAGTTTACACAGGCTCAAATTGAAAGTAACATTATAAATTTATAACATATTTAGCTTTCATTCTTCTAGTGTGTTTTGGGTGGGTGGGTGGATGGGTGGGGCATAGGGGGACCTCCCTTTTAGCCATTAGGTATAATCAAAAAGATTGTTCCTTTTCTTTGCAACATGACTCCTTTTCTAATCTAGCAAAAGATCTGAATAGGAGATTTCCTATTGATTGGTGGAATAAATTGGAAGAATTTATTGTGTGTTGCTACTTGTAATACTAAGAATGCCAAAGAGAAAAGTGTAATCAATGAAGTTGGCAAGGAAGATTCAGACAGAAATGGTAGGAACATGTTTTGGATAGATTAAAAAAAAGATTCTTTAAAAAAGTGTTCTTTTAAAATTAAGTTTTTTTTAAAAAATTGAATTATAGGGCCCAATCCTCTTAGAATCCGGACATAGTACTCTACACAATCTCTTGCTTCCAACTATGTGAGCAAAAGTTCATTCTATTGTGAGCAATGGGGTTTCTGCCTGTGCAAAGGGATACTGAATGCTAACTTTTGCAGTTGGTGCAGAAGAACAACTGTGCATGCAACAAACTATTGCTTGCAGGTTAAAAACAAAGAGGATTCTGCCCATAATCTTTTGAAAAACCAGGGTTTAATATATACATTTAACATAAAAATTAACTTTATCGTTTTTTAAACCGAATGGCACCGATCTCTTCAAAAACTACTGCTGTTCTATGTAAAGAAAAGAGCTATTAGGAAAATATTTTGATTTCCGAGAGTGTTATAATAAGACTGAATTGGACCCAGACTTGTTTGTAGTACTTACTTAAAATATGCTAATTAAGCTCTGGTTTAAGCCATGAAGTAGATGGAATGCTGTGTATCAACGTGGTTCAGGCACCACTGCTCCAGTTCAGTACCATGTATGCTTCCCCACTTGTTCCGAGTTTTGTTCATTTTGAGATTAAAGTTGCTTTTAAAGTCACAATTCATGCCGAAGTCAGAGATGTTATCTGTAACCAAATTAGAAAACTTCACATACTGCCTGTCTTAAAAAAACACAGATGTCCCAATACCATTTTCTCTTAGTGGCCCAAACCTTACTCGGCTTATTCAGCTTACTAAAGCTTTTTCACCCTATACTCTTATTAGACATGATTGGTGTAAGGCAGGGGTCCCCAACTCCCGGTCCGCGGCCCGGTGCTAGTCCGTGGCCTGGACCGGGCCACGCAGACAGATGTCCCACCCACCCCACACACACTCCCGGCCCTGCACAGCCCATTTGAGCATGTGTGTGCAAGTGCCCCCCACCCCTTTGTGAGTGTCCCCTGAGCACCCCTTTGCACCTGCGCACAAGTTAGTGTGCACCTGCTCAAGCGAGCGCCCGCTCCTTTGCTCACGAGTGGGGGTGCGTGTGCCGTGCCTTCCCCAACCAGTCCGTGGACTTTAAAAGGTTGGGGACCACTGGTTTAAGTAATTTAGCAAATGATTTTTATTTGTCTGCCGTGATTACCAAATATTTTTCATATGTATTCTATGTATTCTCCTAGGTTGCTAGAATTTGTAATTTTTATTTTTATCTTTTTACATTGAAAGACTCCTGTTAAAGAAGATTCTTTTTTACTTTCTGGAAGAGATGATAAATTTCATTCATTGAAGTACAACGTAGGAGACTTGGTGTGGTCCAAAGTATCTGGCTATCCATGGTGGCCGTGTATGATTTCAACTGATCCACTTCTTCATCACTTCACAAAACTAAACGGTATTTTATTGTAATTTGCAACTCTTACCATGTTGAGCTAAGATAATAACTGGGGAAAACCCAATTAAATTGTTAACTTTTATTCAACTAGTGTTGTTGGTTTAAGTAAGGTATTATCACCTTCTTAGCATTCAGAGTATCTTGCTCCTGCCACTGAATGTAATATGATTGTAATAGAACCCCTCCTCCTCTTAAATCAGAATATCTTCTCTGTGTGCTTTGTTTCCCACTGAAATTGCATACCGTTTAACTTGTGAAAAAGGCATGTTCCTTGTTTTCAGTGGGGAAAACCAATTTGGAAACAGGGTGTGCATAGAGAATATACTTTGATTTAACTGGGAAATAAATTTTAAACTTCTGGGTATGGTGGCAATCTGGATGTATCAGTAGGGACTGGGAAGCATAAAATATTACTGATGGACAGAGTTTGCCTGCTCTCCCATATGTTGCCTTGCATGCTTTTGTTGAATTTCACTGAGCTGTTTATTAGGCTGTAATAGAAGATGTAGCTAATATTCACGCTGATAATATTAAAATTTCTGGCAGCTTGCTCAGATTGTATCTTACTGATGAATTTTACTCATAGATTTAGATTTATTATATGTTCTTTGCTGCCTTTGTTAAAATACCTGCACTTGGGTAATTACTTGTGGGCTGTTCTGTACTGTATTAGGAAAAGATTTTTTAGTATCTTTCTTGTGCATTTGGGTAACTTACACTTCTGCAACAACAAAGAACCTCTAATTGACTTGTTTGAAACTTGTTCAGGTGGAAGAGCAACAGGCATTACTTAAGTGCAATAAATACTCTTGTCTAGTCCCGTTAATTTAGGATTTTTTCTTCTTCTTGACCATGCCTATAAACCTCTGTTGTTGCATCAGCCTATGATGCTGTTTTCATAATTTGGTGTCGCTGGAATTTATGCCAACCATAAAATATGACCTAGCTGTTATAAATGCCTTGTCATGCTGGTGGGAGAATCAGGTTGCCACTTTCTGGAAAGTCAAGGAAATGGAAATTGGTTAGGGAATTTGTTCTGAAGTCAGGAAAAGTCAGGGAAATTGTGATTAAACTATATTCAAGCCGTGGATTTTTGACCTGCTGCTGCAAGAACATGATCTGTTTGTAAAACTCAAGGCGAGAGTATGGCTCTCGCTAGAGTGTCGTCCTCCCTCAAAACAGAGCAGGAGACACAGAGAAACCCACCTACGCTATCCGTCGAAACTAAACAATGGGGACTTGACATCCGGGAGTTGGAGCGGGAACTTTTGAAAATGACAGTGGCCACACAAACGGAAAGTGAATTGGCAGGAAGAGAGGAAAAGGGGAGATCTGCCGTGGAGGCGGGAATAGGGGGTATAAAAGGACATGTTGACGCGATACCAAGGGATTAGGAGATGATATGGGTGGAAGACCCATGGACCGGTAAATGGGAAACAGTGAAGGTTCTTCGGGAGGAGGCAGACTACCAGAGGCAAAGGGGTCTGCTGCAACGTCCTTTGTATTGGGGAGAGCCTGAGGCTCGGGAGTGGCGCAGACGCCTCAGGGAAGAAAAGGAAGCAGTATCCCGAGAGGCATGGTGTACAGAGGAAGCCTGGAAGAAGGGGTACTTACCAGACCCTGGACCCCTCTACGAGGAGGAGGAGGATGCCTACGGGGCAGAGAACCGAGATGACGAGACCACCCCGCTATTAAATCCAGAGACAGTGGTCCATGACTTTGAAGACAGTAACCCATTTATGAGGGGACTCTGGGACGAGTTGATTAACAACCCCTTTGTTAAAGATGTTTGGATGCCCTCACCAGACCTGTTGGCGATGAGAGAAAAGATGGAAACTAAGGTCGCACAGCAAGATTTATTGTTAAATGTTCCAGTAAAAACTAGTTATCGTTTATAACAGACATGCCTCCAGAGTCTCGGTTGGACACCGGGGCGGTAAAGCTCGAACCCTCATACTGCGCTTGTGGCAACTGGAATAGAGAAGCGGCAGCATTTATAACAGACATGCCTCCAGAGTCTCAGTTGGACACCAGGGCGGTAAAGCTCAAACCCTCACACTGCTCTTGTGGCAACTGGAATAGAGAAGCGGCAGAACACAAGTAAAACTTAATGATGCCCTTTTCCAGCTCCACCTTTTTCTCAGCGCCACCCCCAGCCACCAGTGTAAATGTGGTTTGTTGAGCTCTGTCCCTGCATGCTTTCCAAGGTCTGCCTTGTAGCATTTGCAAAGCAAGGCTAGTTTAAGCGTTTAGCAAGATACAAACTTTAAACATCTGTGTTCATCCCCACCTACTAGTACTGCATTGAACTTACATATAAAGATAAGCATGTTTTTGCGCCATGCTTGGGTATGGAATGGACGTATTGTCTCCTGCTAAACCCGGCACAGAGTTGCAAATGAGTTTTGCTGCTGTTCGATTTCACAATCAACTAGCACTTTCTACTTTGCACCATGCAAAGTAAATTTTTCAAATGTGATTGCTTCTTCTTGCTGGAGTTTACAGAGTATCAGCTGTCTCACCCTCTTCCCTGACTTCTCCCATGCATAAAGGTTGCAAATGAGGCTTGTCTGCTTCTCTTGATTGCAGAAATGATCTGCAAGCATTTAAACTCCTTTCTTGCTGCTGATCTGCTTATTATACTTTCTGGAACCAGAAAGTGAAAGTGAAACTTTCCCAGCTGTGGAAAGTTTCTACTTGTCAGAAAACAAATCTGCTAACAACATCTTGATGTCAGTCAGATGGTTCATGTACGGCTGTATCTGAAACCACATTTTGAAGATGGCTTCTAAGAGGACAGTTTTTAATGTGCAGTGGTTGGATTTCAAACTTCATCCTGACTTTGTTCCATGGCTATCAGAAGTTGCTGGAGACAAATGCAAAGGTCATTGTAAAGTGTGCTACAAAACCTTTGAACTAAGTAATATGGTAATTAGAGCTGTGGAGTCTCATGCACAAGGACTATTACATCAGAAGAACCTGAAAATTAAATCAAGTCAACAATCCATCACAATATGTTTAGGTTCAAAGCCCAGTACAAGTTCAGATAGTAAAACCATTAAGACTTGCATCAATGCAACGCAGCCTATTCATTTTTGAATTTGTAGTTATATTTGAATGGTGGCCAGGGAAACTGACAAATGTTAGTCAGGGAAATGAAAAATAAAATTTCAGTGGCAACCCTGTAGGTACAGCTAAGGCTGTAACATCTGTCTATGTGTGTGACTGTTGTGAGTTTTTGTTTTCTGTTTCACTTCTGGCATCTCTGTACACCACACTCCTACATAACTACAGAACTGCTTGAGAGTGGATTTTTGAATCTTCACAATGACTCCAACGCTTGAGAAATATAGTGCTGTGTTAATGTTAATCACAGTCATGAGTACAGTGGTGCCTCGCTTAGCGATTGCCTC